CTTCAAATACAATTGTTTTGAAGTGCAATTTACCTTTTAAAAACCTTTTGGTAAGACACTCTAGAGGGAAAAATATACCCCCCCCCACCGCCACCACACACACTAAGAAGCTTCCTATGTACAAACTATAAGCAATGATTTCGGAAAATTGCTAAAGTACTACTTGTTGAGAGTTGAGACAAAATAGGTTTTACTCCAAATGTTAGTTGATCAATCCTGTAGACAAAATGAGACATACTTTAGATGTCTCGGTTTCAGCATCTCATGAAGTAGATATTCGTGCACTTGAATCGAATGCGGTATACATTATTTTTCATATACTTATGAATCTTTATGTGCTCTCGTTAGGAAGCAGCTTTGCAACATTGTAACCAGTTTTTTAGTAACAAAACAATAGAACTATAGAAGTTTGAATTGATCAGCCAACATGTATTCCTTCATATGAGTTGGAACTTCAAATATTTCGGAGCACTCTGTTTTTTATTTCTGATCATGAGAATTATGATATAGGATAAAATAGAAATCCCGATTTCTCATTTTTTCCATGATCTGCATTTTGGTCTGGCTAATTTCCGAGGGAAGACCCACTCATTTATAAGATGGAAGAGAATGAATTTGGGGCTTTGCTTACTAGGTTTTGTGTTTAAGCCAGTCAGATTAAAGAATGGTATATCATGGCTAGTGTAGGAAGATATTGTTCTTGGATTCCTTTTGGCGCCTTATCTGTTCTATTTATATTTATTCTCTGGAGCAGTTGAACATTTGTCTGCGCCTTGTTTGTTCGATTCAAATATATGTGTATGAACAGTAGTAACACAAATTGGATCGTATATGGCTATATGCCTCATTCATATTTAACAGAGAAGGTTCTCTGTTTTGTGAACATCAGTATTGTGGTGCATTACAAGCTGTATTTTTTATTGGTCTGCATAATAGATGTATAAAAATTGGAAGCATTTTCAGTAACCGGCTAACTTTTATTTTTTAAAAAAGTAAACCAGCTAACTTTATATATGAGCCTTTTACAAGAGTGTCATAATGCATGTGTAGTATTCCTTCTACCCCTCAAAACTTTGTCAACTTTATTTTCCATTCATCCCAACTCCCAAAAACATCTCAAATTCCTTTTTCTTAGAAAAAAATTCTGTGGTTCATATTGTTCCTAAAAACTCAGCCATGCCCTTCATGTTCAAAACTTTCATGCTCAGTCAAACCTGGCAAAGGTTGGTGGGATGGAGGGAGTAGAAACGTGAAGCCATAAAGAGAGAGTCAGAGAGACTTAAATGTGGGTGTTTTTTGTGATTGTAAAATAAGTATTAAGTATTAAGTGTTTAAGTATAATTTTCGTGATCAGTCATACATGAGCTTATTGACTCACTGCCAATACGTATTGAGTAGTTTTTAACTTATAAGCCGTTTATTGAAGTATTTTAAAGTGACTTAAATGAGAAACGAGTCATTTGGAGGTATTCATAAGGTTAGAGATAGTTTTGTAAGTGTTTTGGTCAAAACAGAGAAATGAAAAAACGGGCTTAAAAATAAGTAGGTAACAACTACTTATTTTTTTGACTTATAAGTGAGCTTATAATCACATAGAAACACGTCATCAACTGACTTACAAGTTAGTATTTTATAAACAGTTTTGACCAACATATATCTCAGAGAAACACCCACATAGTCATATAGTCCCTTGTTTTAGATTAGACCTCAAAATGCCGGATCACTAGTTCATGAAATTTGGGGGGGGGGAGGTGCTTCAAACCTCAATTGAGACTGCAAATAAGTGTTTCTAAGAGGAAATAATAAAATGATGTGTATGAAAATTGCAAAGCTGAAGTGGACAGATGTGATTTCAGCATCAGCTTTTTTCTTTATTATTTTATTACAATCATAAATATTGTCATTAATACCATTCTTATTCGGGGTGGGGGTTGGGTTGCGCTGCTGGGGTGTGTGGGAGGTGGGTTCGAGGAAACTTTGAAATGGACTAACGCATGTAGATTGGTGGCAGGGACGGGAACATTCCAGTTTCGTTCATTCAAAAGTACCTGATGAGAAAATTGGATCTTGCAAGTGAAGATGAGGTAGGGATCATTTGTTTTAGTCATGCTATGATGCCCCCAAAATGGCATCTTCAAGTTTTACCTCGCCTCATTTTTGCTCTCACAAACGGTTTCACATACTGCAAATGTCTCTGAAATCGTGTTATGAGAGAGCAAAAATGAGGCGGGGTAAAACTTGGGGGCACCCTATGTTTTTCCTTAGTCTTGATTATGACAAAAGAGGGGCATGGCGTAGAAAATTCAGGAATTCACGCACAAATTTTCAGTTCTATGCTCTGCTGAATGTTTTACCTGATTGGTGCGCACAGGTTGAAATCAGATGCATGGGGCAGCCGATAGTACCCACTTTACAGCTAAACAGTTTGCTGGATATGTGGCTTCAAATGGCTTCTGCTGAAAGGGTATCCGTTGCAATTGGTTCCTCGGCCAAAGATTTCGTCATGGTGCTCGCTTATGCCCGTAAGGTTCCATCTTCTTAGCCTCTTCTTGCTTCTCCCATCCATTGTTTTCAAGTTCAAATGCCCAGAGGATACCAACACCAATGAGTTATACTAAAAAGAGTCATTGACCACGGGTTTGACTCGTCACTTTAACTATTCTCACGTTGTTGTACCGGATAGAAAAGTAGAGTGTTTCTCATGTTGTACCAACGATTCTACGCTTAATATACTCCGTAATATATAGAGTGTGATATACTATTATTGGAGTGTATTAATAAACAAATATACTCTCTTGTATTTGTTCAATTTGTTTCCTAATTATATTGGATCTCTCATGATACATATAGTAGTATAAATTTGCTCTTTTTGTGCGTAAAGAATGATCCAAATGGTTGGAAACTGGCTTATGGTGGTATATGGGGAACGCAATTTTCTAGACATGCTTTATTTTTTGTGGCAAAACGAAACAATTTTCTTGAAATGCTTGAGTGCAGTGCTATTGGGCTATAATGTTCATTTTCTAAGCCTAAAGACTTTTGATTGGTTTGAAATGACGAAAATCATTTTCTTCAGTAATGCTAGCGTCACAAACAAAACATTCACAAAATGCACAAATTTGTCGAATATGTAAAGTGACATTTACAAAATTTACAAACTTGCCGAATATGTAACGTAATGAATTCAAATAATAGAAATCATTTTAAATGGGACTAAAACATAGAGACAAGTACCAAAATAAGATTTTCATGTTTTTTTTCCAAAATAAGACTTCACATTGCGGTAATGTGGCACTGTACATGTACACATTACTATACTTTTTTAGTAATGTACATGACCATGTTTGGTAATGTAAGTCCTATTTTGGGAATAAAAACATAAAAGTTATATTTTATAATATTTTCAATGTTTTAGTTTTACTTTGGTCTTTCTCCCATTCAAATAATGGTCACAAATAATTAAAAAATAAAAATTAAAATACACAAATAACAAGTTTGTGCATCTTGCGCCCGTTTCACAATTAGACCATGCACTATAAGGTCTACAATTTTTATAGAAGTGTCAAAAGCTTTTTAATAAATTTCCGCATGTTATTAGGTTCTATATTATATGGAGTATATATATTTTATTATTTTAATACATGCTTGGATGTTATAAGGTGCAATTTTTACAAAAAAAAAGAAGTGTCAAAACGTTTTCAACAAGTTTCCTTTAATTCTTCAATGCAACAACAAAAACAACACGATACATTCAACGAGAGTATGGTAATGCAATGTAAATTTAATATAATTGATACTTAATTTTTTTCAGTTTGATTCCAAAAAGTCAAACTAAACGAATGCTTTGAGATGAAAATGATAATAAATTTTTTAATCTTTTTTACGATTCTGACCCATGATTTTCTTCGCCTTTGCTTTTTTACGGCTTTCAATGCAGTACTTAGATCATCAATATTTGTATTTATAAAATATAATCCATCCGTCCCGGAGTATTTGTCCACTTTTGACTTTTTCGATCAAAATTGGTAAATTTTGACCTCAATTAAATTAAAATGATATTAGATATTGATACAAAAATAGGTTCATTAGATTCATTATATGAAATATTTTCAAAATATTACTTTATCTAGTTAAAAAACAATATATATTTCATTTAATTATAGGTCAAAGGTTAAAAATGGTTAACTGAAAAAAGTTAAAACTGGACAAAATACTCAGGGACGGAGGTAGTATAATTTTAAAACTTTGTTTTGAACGATTTAATGATACGGAGTATTATACTCATATTATAACATAATTTTTTTACTTCTTCCGTCCCAATTTAAATCGTCTGTTTCGATTTACGTGTGACTGAAATTATTTTCAATGCAATTTATTAGAAAATTGGAGTGGGATCAGAAAAAGCTTTACATATTAAGAAACTATATCAAAAGTTATATGAAACAATAGTTGACATAACCATATTATTTTATCCAATTAGTAACAAAAATAGGAATTGAAAATAAATAAAGTTTGACCATGCGAATATAAAACATACGGAGTACAACTTAATTTAGAACCAAACAATTTTTTTAAACAAACGAAATTTTTGAATGAATCAAATGCTTCATGAATGCTAAATGAATTGATTACAGATCTCTGAAAATATTCAAATAGAATAGAAATACCACATAAAACAAAAGAGCATGCTACATGTACCCCAAAATTTGTACTTCATTTGTACACCAAAGGTATACACCAACATTTTGATGGTTCACACTGACAAAAAATGTTGGTGCGTTAACAAAAATTTACACTGAAACAAAGTGTTGGTGCGCTAACAAAAATGAGCATTACACCAACACAAAATGTTAGCCTTGCGGTGTACAAAATGAGGTGCAAATAGCATTATCCCAAAACAAATACGGAGTACGTAGTAAGTAGTACTCCTAATAATATTCATCAATTGATTCAATTCGCTTATAACCATTAGACCTCTCAAAAAATGACTCGACCTGTTTTTGACCCGAAACCCGACCTAAAAACATCAGGTTTTGAACAAAGGTTTTGATGACCGAACACGAAGTTGACCGAACCCGAAATGACCCGCTAAAAATGGGTCAAACTCGACTGTACCCGAACCCGACCTGACCGACCCGCTAAAGTAAAAAATTTTCAAAATCATACACTTTACTACTTGTTTTTAATGTATAAATTTATATTTTCAGACAAAATTTTAATGATATTGCATAATTATCTTACTTTTTTCCAAAACTTAAGCATTTTTAAATTTCTTATATTGATTTATATATCTAAAAATTACTTCAGAGTTTAGAATAAAATAATTTTATAGATTTAATACATTTTTTATATTTTAAATTTTTTTAAATAGAAAATGTAAGTGTTAATTTTAATTTAAAAATTTAAAAAACTAAAGTTATAACCCTTTGGGTTGACCTGAACCCGATGACATTGGATAATGAACATACAATTTTAAACCCAAATTGACCCGAAACCAAAATAACCCGAATGGAAATCAAACCAGATCCGACCTACGGATTTGCCCGCTCTAATAACCATACTCTCTATATACGGAGTATACAAGGGGATAGACAGAGAGATAGGGGATTCGGGGTAGGGTTTAGGGGGCTGAGTTCAAGCGGGAAATAAATCAAAGAATGGAGATGCAGAGGGATGGAGCTCCGTTTTCTGCGAGTAACGGATGTGGAGAATCGGACTTGGAGTCGGAGCCCAATTCGAAGCGTCGCCGCCGGTCGTCGTCCTACACCGCTTTATCAGGTAAACAAATTTAAACCGCCAAAGATCAATTGTGGAGTAGTTATATTTGATTTCAGTTTCATTAAATTCCCTCTGTTTCGATTTTGTTGTTTAGATCGGACACGGGAGCTGTTAGAAGAGAAGGTGTCCTTTCCAAATGTATCCAAGTGTCGACTAAAACACATCAAAGCTTCAATCTTGGCACCCGGTTTTAGGGATGCTCCCGAGCTCCCCGACTCACTTGCCCTAAATAAGGAATATAAGATCGGGTCGTATTTCGACACCGAATGCCTGACATATTCTGAAACCTTCCAACATGTGCCAAATGTCGAGGCAGGCAAAGAACTGAATGTTTTAGATTTGCTAGGGGATGACCTCTTGAGTTTCAGCACTAGTAGCCAAAATGATCCTAGCTCAAGCAGAACAACACGCAGAGAGAATGTTAATGTGGAAAGCACCGTAAACCTGAAGGGTAAATACGTTATGATTTGTTGCGTGTTTGTGCCTTCGATTTGGTCTTCAGCCGATGGCCCCATGGTTTATCACACAGCTTTAGCATCTCATGAGCTGGCTAGAAGAGACGATTTCGTGCTGGTGGTGGTGCCAATGATGAGGGAGGGTTTCGCTCATTCCTACTCTGCCTATCAACACTTCTTGTTGGGATTTTCCTGCCTTGCTGTTCCTTTCTGCGACTCTCATCAGCGTGAGTACATTTGCTCGGCACTCGGTTTTGATGGTAAGATTAAAGCTGTGATTCTAGATCCATCTCAGAAGGTCCTTTACCATGGCCCGCCCATCATGTTTTCTCAGTTTGGAGGAGCTGAACATGGTTCCTTTCCCTTTACTCCAGAGAGAATGGATATTTGTTTACGCCGTGGCGGTGTTTTACAGGATCTCTCCCTCAATGAACTTCTGGGCCTTAGCGACACTGATGTTCTATTCAATATTTTGAAGGATGCCCAGATTACTATTTCAGAACTTAAACAGAAGTTTGTGGGGCTTTATGTGTGCTCTGATTGTAGAAGCTTAAGGAAGCTTCAGGAGGTTCATGAGGAATGTAGACGACAAAAGTATGAGCTTGAGATTGTGGTGGTGTGCTGTCCCTTCGAGAAGCAGGTGCCCCCAAAGTTGCACGAGAAGTTAATCATGGATGCACTTGCAAGTTTTAAGCTGATAGGCTGGTGGGGTTTTCCCTTCAACAACACCGTATTCCATAGGCTAATGCGAATGCGTGAAATTGATAGTGATCGGGAAGGTCTTTTCATAGTGGATCCCATTGAAAAGTATGTGGATCCCTATGGGTTACCAATCATCAGTGATTTCGGCATGGATGGTTATCCCTTCACTAGGAGGAAATTGATTGATAAGGAATTTCAAAGGAAAATGGGACTGAGTTTGAAGTCATTACTACTACCTTGGGATTGTGTTTATGGCATGCGTGATACCCTTACGCGCTGGATGGTTGATTATTCTACTGCATTGCTTAAGAACTACATTGTTGTTCTTTATCTGTTCAAAGAGAAGGAGAAATTTCTAGCTGATAGATTGGGTGCAAGGTATAAAAAGAATTGGAAGAGAAAGCATTCAAATGTTGTGGTGGTTGCTGTAAACATAGATGGTAGCCGCACTAGTGATGAAGATTTCATGGCTAGGGGGTGGTTCGTATGCCGTGCAAAACCAACCAAGTCAGCTAAACTCTGTGATGAGTTCTTCCATCCTCTCTGTAATCCATGTGAGACTGTTGTTGCATTTGGAGATGATGGTATGATTCAGTCTATGGATCCAAATCACATTTTGAAATGTCGACATCCTCCTTTCCATGGCGATCTACGTGACGAGATTGCTCGGGCATTTGATGACGCCGGGCTTCATTACATGCGACATTATAACTACTCTTAATGACGGGTTTGCGTTATATTTTTATATTTTGATTAGATCATCTAATTTAGTTAATTTGATAGTATAATAATTCAAGTAATTATCGTGATGTACTCTGTATTTTTTTAGTTAAAACTGTTTAGTTGAATTATAATACTTCAAGGATTTTCTTCTCGGGTCTTTCCGATCCCTTGATGACTTTTTTGAACCGACAATATTAGAATTTGGTATGGATGATGAAATATTGTGTTTAAAATTTTGTAAAGGTCTTCAAAACCAGTAGTTCAAACTCGTTAATATGCACACACACACATAGTATGAACAAAACAACCCTTCTACTGTTTCTTTGATAATTTCTAGAGACACAATTGCAGATATGCACAAAACAGTCAATATTGTCTTTTATTTTGGTGGAGGTTCACATTCATTTTTTGGACCTTGTGGGTTGAGGGTTAAATATGCTTTCAGTAAAATAGGTGATTACTGTTTTTCATCCTTGTAGTTATTATTTTTTTAATTCATCATTGAAAAAATATTTTATTTTGAGAATGATTCTTAAATGTAATTAAGATTTTTAATTTGTTGAGATATCACATTTATTTTGTATTGAATCACCTGGTCTTGCATTTTTAATGACCTTAGACACAATTCTTATGCCTTAGTTCATTGAATTACATCCCTAATTTCTAAATTTTATTATAGTGTATTCCAAAAAATTTGAAAATCTTTTACTATAATATTTGAGACTCATGTCTCTAAGTAGTTGACATGTGTCATCCTACATGGCATCCTATAATCTTTGTACGTATTGAAGCTGAATTTGGTATTGGTTCAATGGTGTAGGAACGGTAAGTTGTTGCGTCAGACGGTAGGCAATACCGCCGGGCCAGTACCGTTCTACCGCCACCCTCTTTTTTCCATCCTCATCTTCCGGTCTCTGTGACCGCACGGGGCGCACGGTACCTAGTTACCGAAGGCCGTCGGATTGATAGTGACTACCGGAAGGGTCGAGCTGATCTCCCCCAAGCGGTTCGCCGATGTAATAAGGTATGTGCTCTGTTTGAGTTTACGATCAATATCAATTAACGAATTTTAAATGGTTGTGTTCATTATTATTATTATTGAGGTGGTTTTTATGATTCATTATTTAAAGAAGGTTAAAATAAAATACAATAAGTATTGAAAATTTGAAATCGATTCAATACTAGACTAGATGTAAATGTAGATACTGATACACGAGGGTGGTTGATAGAATAAAAATAATGGAAACATTGCATAATCACCATTAGATATAAGCCCAACAAATATTCAATAAACTAAAATAGAATTAAAATATTATTATCCATGGACATGAGCAAAGGTAGGGGTGGGGTGGGGGAGGGAAGGAGGCCAGCTTGCAAACTTTGCTGGATTGGCACATTGAATCGCCGGAGGGGGGAAGCGAAAGGGTATGGCAACATTTTTACCTTGGCTGAGATACCTTTCCCCACTATTTTTTAATTAGGTTTGGGCAATAAGGCGGAGTTTTTTGACCAATCAGTTTATGGGCAAACCTCTCATAGCCTGAGTTCAGTCCAAATCAGTTTAAAATTTATACGCATTACTTTGTCTAGAAATAATCTTCCCATTCTACCTTTTTCATCCAAAAGTACCCCTTCCAATAATACCTCATTCTTCTCCTTTCTTTTATTCTTTCCTCCACTCTTTTTTTCTCTTCTCCTCAATTTTCTTCTCCTTCTCCTCGTCTCTCTCTTATTTCATCACCTTGCTATTGGATCTTGTGAAATTTGCCTCTGACTCTGGAAGAATTCACTATTAAAGCCATTCGGTCCACGGCTTTTATAATTTGAAATGGTAAACATAACTTCTTTAATCTGATCCTGGTAAATGGGGTTTATTAACTCCAGCTGTTGATCAATAATGAGTGCCTCTCCAATCTTAATGATATCAGGATTAAAATCATCTATTTTCTTCTGAGTTCCTATCATATCCTTATAAAATCCCCCTATAATGCCAGCTACTCTCTATTTTGATTGGTAAGGGACTGAGTACTCAAGAATAATGCTTATCGTTGTCCTTATGAATTAACACAACATTGCATGAAATATATGCATTCTTCTAAGAAAAAACATCTCATCCTTTGATCAAAGAGTGCTTCTTTAGAGCATCTAAGGTCAATAAAAATTGTGTGGACCTTCTAACATAATAGTATTAAAACTCATTTTGAAATCAAAATTAAAATATATATCTCAACATTAAGCAAATGCTTGTCAGTCTCAATAGTTGGTTCACTACAGACCTAAAGTCCAAGGTAGAATTTGCCATGTTCAAAATGCCTTCAATTATTTATTGCCCTGTTTTCTTTCAAGTGTGGATTATGAGTACTTTGAAGTAGCAGAATAAGGATTCATACAATATAATTAAAATTTAGTTTTCAATTGCTTCAAAAATGTCACAGTAATAAGGAAAAAAAAAGTTTTGCATCATGTCATCTTATATACCCTTCAAAAGCAGAAAATCCATAAAAAAGAAGTTTGGGTTCCAAAGTTGAAAGCAGTAAAACCAGTGATTTCTCTAGACTCAATCATTCATCTAAATGCGCAATATATACCGTACAACTGGTTGTACAATATTTCCTATACATCCGTGGTGAGTACTCATTTTCGAGCAACTGATACTTATATTTGAGCAATTGAATACTCATTTTCGAGTAAGTGAATATTCATTTTCTATATTTCAATTATACTCGTAAATGAGTATTTAGTTACTCAAAAATGAGCATTCTATTACTTGAAAATGAGTATTCAATTACTCGAAAATGAGTACTCAAGCAGATGTGCATGATACATCATACATCCTGATGTATGGTATAGGTACCCATCTAAATGGGCAAAGTAGTGATGCTCTTCAGTTCTCTTTTCCAACTAATGTTTCCTCATCAGTCATCACATATTGTCCTTTTCCGGAATTGATGTCCTTTAATTCTCTTTTTTCCAACTAATGCTTCTTCATCACTGATTCTTTAATAATCCTGCCATGAGGGCAAAACATAAGATCACAGATTTTCATATGATTGTGTCGTATACATCATATTTGATCATTTACCAGAAAGGAATATGTGTACAGTGCAAGATTTTAATGAAATATATATTATGTTCGTTTTTCCAATGCAAGGAATTAGCACAACTTTTTCAATATGATAGCCAATTGATTCCGCTGTTCAATGTTCTGTTACTCATAGTCTTAGGCACGTAATCCTAATTTTCATACTTGAAATCATATTTTTAGTGTCTTTATAAAGATAGTGTACCATATAGTGCCTTTACAGTAAGACAATAAGACTCTCTAAGGCATTGTTAGATACGCTAAGACATTGCATATGTAGACATCGAACAACATCTTTATCACTTCAATATAACAATATTCATCATGTATTGTGGGTTCCCTACTGTTGTGGGATTCAACTGGGTTGTTGTTGTTGTTGTATTGTGGGTTATTGTTGCTTACGCATTGTCTTGCTCTTGTGATTCAGTTTCAAATCCACTATTCTTATTCACAATGATCTTATCATTAACAACTAAATTATTGGAGTATGTTTTTGTGGCCTCTTCTAAACATGACTGTTGTTTCACGCGTCTTTCCTAAACCTTATTGCCCTCAAGACGTCTTACACTTACAGTTTTTAACATATTTTGTCCTAATACATGAAGTCAATGGGTGAGAGCCTTTGAGGCTGTGGGGTAATTTTGTTGTTGTTGTTTGTTGTTGTCATCAACCTGCCCAACACCATCGCCACAACTATTCCAACCTGCCTACATCTCATGTTTCCTTCATCACAAACAAAATCCTAACCAAGAAATTGAAATGAAAATTGAAAATGGAAAATCAGGTCTCCGTCACCCTCTTTCGCTTTTGCCCCTTTGTCACTTCTGTCTCTTCTGTTCACCACCATGTTGGGGTCGAGGGGAGTCTAACACAGCAACAAAAGTAAAAGAAGAAGAAGAGGAAAAAGGAGAGGGAGAAGGGGGAAGGTTCAATGAAGAAGATGAAGAGAAATAGGTGGATGGAGTCAGAGTGAAGAACGAAAAACACGGGGGATTTGGGTTGTGTGGCCGGGGGAGAGAATAAAAAAAGAAAACGTAAAAATGCAACTTTGTGTGTATTTTTTTCCATTTTAGGAAATGAGAAGAATCAAATGGGATGACCTAAAAAGGAAAGTGAAAAGAAAGACATGAGATAGAGAGGTATAGAAACGAGTTCATAATCCAGAGTCCAAGCACACACAATGGGCTTGTATGGCAACTACATAATTGTAAAACTTATATGCAGTTATGAATAAAAAGGATTGGTCTTTTTCGTGTAATTTTTAAAACTAATCCGTGCCCCAAATGCCACAACTCCGACTAGAGTGAACTTCGATTATCCCAAAAATTGAATAGATACAATTAAATGATTAAGATATGGATAAAATTTAAATAAGAGTGGAATCAGTTTTCAAAGATATTAAAGTGAAAATTAAAGCATGTGAAACATGAATGGGATTAGTTAGCCTGGAAATCTGGAATGACAGAAATCACCCAATAAACTGTTTTTGCTATGCTTCGGCCTGCGTCAATGCATCGATGGTTGCTGCTCATTTGTGTTGATGGCATAGTTGTGAATGGCGAGTGGCGGGCGGTCAAATGGCGAACATTATATAAATAAATAAAAAATAACAACAACAACAACCCAGGAAAATAAATAATATATATATATATATATATATATTGTTTAAGTCTAAACTTTTAGTCTTAACTTTGTATCAACATTAATTATCAAAGTAAAACATGAGTTAATTGTAAAAGTTAAAACAAAAAACAAAAAAACAATAAGAAAAGTAGAAAAAAAGTAGAAAATAGCGAAAATAAAGACAATAAATTATATCTATAAGAAATTAAGAATATAAAGACAATAAAGAAACAATAACCATTCAAAAAAAACAATAAGAAAAGTAGAAAACAAAAAAAAAGTCTGAGTGTGACCTGCGAAGTGGACTTTACTTGCGCCGGCTCTGAGTCTGCGAAGATGTGCGCTGTTCGGACTCGGGAGAGAGAGGAAGGGCTGCGCCGGATGAGGAGAACTTGAGGAGGGCAGGAGGCTGCGTCGGCTGGGGAGTAATACGATCGACGGCGAGAGGGAAGAGGCAGAGGCAGAGGCGAGGCAGTTGAATCGATGAAGTGTTTCGATCGAGATATAGGTCAGCGCGTTTTTAAAAAAAGTCAAGGTTTTTAATTAAAAAACCCTTGACCTGCGTCTGGCGTAGATGGCGAACGCCTTTCGACTCAGAGTCTGGCGTCCATGGCGACCGCCATTGGCGAGAATGGCGTAAAATGCCTCGCCAGGTCTGAAGATGGCGTCACATGGTCGCCACACAGCCATAGGCGCCTTAGGCGAGAATGGCGAGCGCCATTCACAACTATGGTTGATGGAAAGGGCAATGTGGATGAAGGGGCAGATGGTGTAGATGGTGCCGAGTGCAGACTGGCGACTGCAAAATAGATGATGGAGAGGCTGAAGACGGAGCTTGAGAATCTGAGTTTGATTTGAGTCGGAGAAGATCCAATAGAGAGGCTAAGGATTGAGTGGATTGAGAATCAAGCCTGACAAAGTAGTACAAGTCAAGAGCATCCTATTACATTTTTTATACAAAAAAAATCTCCTAAATCTTCAAATAAGCGTCCAAAAGAGGTAGGACATTAAGGGTATGAACCAATTCTAAAAAAAACAAACAAACCAATGCAAGAACTATTGGCAAGTGGCTTGAGGTCCAACCTATCTTGCTGCGAGTTGCTAGTTTGTTCAGCCCTTTATGTCTGCTTATATGTAATTTACTACCCAACAAAAATCTAACAGGAGTCCTCAAAAGACTTCTTCAGATGTAGCAAAAGCATTGAATACCATTACTTTCTATCAACGTAAACCCAGCGGGAGACTCAAAGGGCCATTAGTTGTCCACAACAAAAGTATCCAAAAGCTGAGCAATTCAATCAAGACCATCGAACCTGCCAAGTCTACAAAATAAAATTCTTCAATAAAGGTATAAAGAGATTCTTATAAGTTCAAAAACCAAGAATTATATTTGACTCCCAAATGCCACACTGAAACTCCCAAAGGCAGCAGTAGCTGAAATAAAAAGTGCATACACAACACTATCATTTTTGAACTTCAAAAATTCAATATGAAGCCAAAATTAACACCATCAGATTAGCAAAAGATAGCATATGTATTTGTCAACCCCTAAATGTCTTGCTAAATCCTCTAACAAATCCAATGTGAAGCCAAAATTATTACCCTAAGAATCATCTATCAAAGATAGAGGCAGGTGCTAGAACTGTTAGCTATGATTTTCAAATGTCGCAATGAAACATCGAAAGGCAGCAACAGCTGAAATACACTTGAAGGAATCCCCAACATGCAAACTGTTGTCCTCCTCTCTTAATTCTAGGATATAGCTTGAAAGAGGACCAGCAAAGCATACATTAAAAAAACAGCCAAATACAAAGCCTTCCAAAAAAGAGAGTCGGACCTTAATGCAATGCTGCTCGCAGTAAAATACATAAAGCTCCTTAGCTCCCATAAAGATTAGAACATATAAACTAAATGAAACCCCTCTAAACTATTAGCAGTTCACAGTTACTTAAGATTTCTTTAAGTTCTTCTTGGCCTTAAAAGCAACCTCTCTAATTGTAAGGTCACCTCCCAGTCTCCCACCCTGCTAGCATTGATGAATCTGTGAACTTAGCCAATTGGGATGAAACCGAGCACGTGTCACACTCCTAGTCATGACTGTAGGTCTTATGTGGGTTTTCCTTTTCTTTTTTAGGTAATCTGAGGTGGAATCCTACTGTTTTTTAAAGTTCCACCAATACCGTAAACATACTTGCACATATTCAAAAAGATAAAAACAGAAGCATACCGACATTGTTATTATGAAAGTGGGTGGAAGTGGGATATAATTTCATTAGAATATTGATCAGTATGTAAGAGAATGCAGTTGAGACTTACTCTTGAAGTTCTCTAGAACTTTTAGATTCTAGACTACTTTCATATTTAGCTCTTTTCATTTTGCTGAATCATGGTGCAATCTTACCTATCATTGGCTTCTACCACTCCAAGTGGAAGTCCTCCAAGAATTCAGTTCAGGATCAGGTATTGGTAAGTACATTGAAAGCAGCCAGATATTTGATTTCACAAAATAATTCATTCATTAGACCTCTGCATTACATCATACTCTTGTTTGTAATTATTGTCTTAATAGTCCTTTCAGACTCTTATGAATTAGCTCATAATACAATTGTACTGAGCTATGAGATCTTCTTAAAAAAGACCAATGTGCAACTCGCCTGAATGTGCCCCTTTTTAGTCTTTGGCACAATGGACGTGTGTGATTATGAACTAGTTGGAAACACAAGGGTGTCATAAATAACTTTATGACCCTTTTTAAATTTAAGTGTTCTTAAATATGTCATAATATCTCAATTTTCTTTTAGTGTGTTATTTATACAACTGGTTAAATTTTGTTAGGTTGCAAAAGCACGTAAACAACTAGGACATGCTCTTCATGGCTTGTGGACATTCCGGGCTAATGAGAACCCACCTTTTCATCAAAAACCTCAGTCAAACAAAGTAGTAGACGATCAAATATGACAGGGGTTAGAATCGGATGTGTCTATACGGCTTGCTTGGGCTTCCATAGAAGATGGGGTGGCACTCGATTCTCAAATTTCAACCCAATGGAGAGTACACGACCCGAAACATGATATCTTGAGTGTGTCAGAATACTTTGAGCTATGAGCGAAGATTAACACTGATATGGCTGATTTAGAGTCCATTAAGAATCGAGCATGTAAGTTTTTTTGAAGTATTATTTTTCAATTATGAATAGATCATGATAGCTCACTTAGAACTCTTCTTTTGGTTTATCTTTGTTCTTGAGTTATCATGATCTATTCATAATTGAAAAATATTACTTCAAAAAAACTTACATGCTCGATTCTTAATAGACTCCAATTCAGCTATATCAGTGTTAATCTTTGCTTCTAGCTCAAAGTATTTGACACACTCAAGATATCATGTTTCGAGTCGTGTACTCTCCATTGGGTTGAAATTTGAGAATCGAGTGCCACCCCATCTTCTATGGAAGCCCAAGCAAGCCGTATAGACGCATCCGATTCTAATCCCCGCCATATTTGATCGTCTACTTTGTTTGACTGAGGTTTTTAATGAAGATGTGGGTTCTCATTAGTCCGGAATGTCCACAAGCCATGAAAAGCACACGTTTCTAGGTCAATGCCACTTTTAAGTGCATGTCCTAGTTGTTTATGTGCTTTTGCAACCTAACAAAATTTAACCAGTATTCTTCGCTCCTAGCTCAAAGTATTCTGACACACTCAAGATATCCTGTTTCGAGCCGTGTACTCTCTATTGGGTTGACATTCAAGAATCGAGTGCCACCCCATCCTCAAGACAGATTGGATACGTTCACTCCATGATGGTGTTCTGCAGGATCTCTCCCTCAACGAGCTTTTGGGCCTTCAAGACAATGATGTTCTATGCAATATTATGAAGGATGCTCATATTACTATTTCTGAACTTAGACACAAGTTTGTGGGGATTTACCTTTGCTGTAATTGCAGAAATTTAAGGAAGCTTCAGGAGGTTCACGAGGAATGTGGATGGCGTGCCCCCAAAGTTGCATGATGAGTTGATCATGGGTGCTCTTGCAAGTCTTAAGCTGATAGGCTGGTGGTTGTTCCCCTTCAACTAGACCGTGTACCAGAGACTATGGCGAATGAGTGATATTGACTGTTGTGAGGAAAGTCTTATCATAGTGGATCTCATTGAAAAGTGTGTGGATCCGTATGGGTCATCAATCATCTGTGACTTTGGCATGGATTGTTATCCCTTCACCAGGAGGAGTTTGGTTGAGAACGAATTACAGAGGATAATGGGACTGAGATTGAAGTCGTTACTACTTGGAGATGGATGCGTTCGTCACAAGCGTCATTCCAGCTCCATCATTGCTGAGAATCCTGTGGCAGAAGCAGCGCTTAACAACAAGACTGTTCTTCTTTATCTATACAAAGAGCAGAGCAAATTTCTAGCTAATAAATTGGCTGAATTTATGTCTTATGATTCTGAAAAGAATATTAAGAGAGAGCATTCGAATGATGTTGAGGTAGTTGCTGTAAGCATAGATGGTTGGGACGCTAGTCATAGAAAATTCATGGATAAGGGGTGGTTCGTATGCCGGGCTGACTCGTCCAAGTCAGCTAAACTCTGTGATGAATTCTTCCATCCTCCTTTCAGTGCAAAGGAGACCGTTGTTGCATTTGGTAAAGATGGTCTGGTTCAATCTATGGATGCCTCTCGCCTTTCTCTGCGCCAAGAGATTGCTTTGGCATTCTATAAAGGCTGGGTTTGATTACATGCTGCCACATCACTACACTTCATGAAGAGTTTGCATTGATAGATTATTTAGATTCTCTAAATTAGTTAGTCAGATAGTCTAATGGTTTAATTTAATTGTTGTGTTGTATTTTTCAAGGGTTTTCTTTACGGTTCTTTCCCTTGATGTTTGGAAGTGATGTGATAGGGTGTGGAGGTTATTTACCTCGCCAGTGAACGTGCTCTAGTACTTCATTCATCTATAAAATATGAATTATCATTAGGCTTTTCTTGGCAATTTATTATAATATTTGAGCACAATACACGAAATAAAAACACAGAAACAAAACTTGATGTAGTCATACATGTTAAATACTCCGTATAAGAGATAATTCATAAGCAAAATGTAGGGTTTGTTCCGCAGGACTTATTTTTTTTCCTTATTACTTATTTTTATTAAGATCATATCAGATCACACCTAATCAAATCAGATCCGATCCGAATCAGATCCAATCAAATCTAATAAGATCAGACTAGATCTAATTAGATTAGACCAGATCAAATCTAAAAATATCAAATAAGAAAAAAATAAAAAAAATTATATTTTCAAGGATTAAATAATAATTATTGTTATTTGTTTAAATCACATTACTTTATTTAAGGCTACACACGCCTAAATCTTTATTAATATTATAATTTTAACTATTACTATTATTGTTATATTATTATTATTATTATTATTATTATTATTATTATTGTATTTCAACTACAAACCATTATTTTTAATAATTGCTCAGGTTGTAGGAATGATGCATGAAAGCAATGTTAAAGCTTAAGAAGTTGTATTTTTCATACTTTAAAAAGAATTGTTTTAAAAGACTTGTTTATAAAATAATTATACAAAACTTAGTTTTCAAAACCATAAATATGTTATACTCCCTCCGTCCCAATGTATTTGTCCAGTTTGACTTTTTTGAGTCAAACTGAACCAACTTTGAGCTTCAATTAAATAAAAACTATAATGTACTTTAACATAAAAATGACTTTATTGGATTTATCGTATTGAGAACTTTCAAAATTGTATTTTATTATGCTAATATGCAATATAAATTGAGAGTAATTGAAGTTCAAAGTTTGTCAAGTTTGAATCGAAAAAGTCAAACTGAACAAATACACTGGGACGGAGGTAGTACTTAAAAAGACTTACTTTTAAACTTTAAGATAGTATAATATATACAAAGGTGAGTTTATGACAAAATTGATAGAGGTAAAAGGAGTATTAGTGTTTAGATTATATATGATATTTAATTTGTAACATGAAATATATTATTATGTAATATGCATATAGAATGTATATTTTTGTAAAATAGAATCTATGTTTTCTAATATTTAGTTATTTTAATGCTGATTATTTAGTTTTCACAAAACTCAAAAAGTAGTGATATTGAAAAGATGTTTAATATTTCAAAAAAAGTTTAAATATATCAATGATTAGCTGATTTTCTTATTTTACTTTTTTAATGTATATATGAGTTGTAATACTCTAAAACTATTAAATTTTGTAATAATTTAATATTGTTCTATAAAACAAATATTAGTACAATTTTTTTATGATGAATATTGCATATAGAGACGAAAAGAGATCGTCATCAACTATAGCTTCACATCATCGAACCCATTTAAGAAGGAATGTACTATGTGATATGAGAAATGGTATTTTTTTAATTTCAAATTAAATAGTTAATAATTGCAGTAAATTTTCATAGAAAATTATTTATACAGTGTTTTAACCAAGAAATAATTGTTTTGCCGCTTTCAAGTGCATAAGAAATTGAAGAGAATTGATCTCTCTTCAATAATACATCTATTATTTTCTATCAACGTTATCATACGATAATTATCTTTGCGTATTAACTAATTATACGTATATGATATTATAAATATTGTAATAAATGTTACCTAAATTAATATGGTGGATCAAACACTACAAATATTTTATATTTAAATTGTGAGGTAGAAAGTTCATCTATTCAAGATATATCGGTGGAATCATTTTAATATAATCCTGCATTTGGAGAAGCTAAAACTAGATCCATGTATAGATTATATGTACAACATGTAATTTGTGTAAAATGTTAAATGTATATATAAAAGACTGTCCATATCATATTTTATTTTTTTCTTGTATATATAATCCATTTGGAGGTCTCGCATTTAAATATGAATTTCTTTGTAGGGTATGAAGAAAGAGCCAAAAAATTTGAGGACTGATAATGAAATATCTTATCATTGAGAATTAAATATGAAAAAATGTATATATTTGGGGACCATTTATAGAAGTTACTCCTTTTTTTTTTAAATTTAAAGAAAGGCTAATCTAGGGTTAAGAGCATGACCATCGCCTTTTGTGTTGGTAATTAGTCGCCCCTATTTGGGCCTATTTATATAAAGATGTTTGACAAGTAGGCGGCCCACTTTTTCAAATTCGGAGTAGTAAATCACAGCGGTAAAGACAGGATAGGACAACCCGCTTTGGAAGTCGTAAAGGGTGGGGAGTGCCGTGTTTGGCAAATTGTTTTATGACTCAGTTTGTTAATTAAAAAAAAGAGCTTTTTTACTCCCCCTTTCAATATGAACTCTGGACTCATTTCATCGTCCCACACCGGTTCGGATTCTCCCACTTATATAGCTAGCTTTTGGGGTGTGATTCTCCCTTATGCTGTATCAATAGTATCGGAGCAAACTTAGAGTAGTGACCTATGGAGTGGTGGTCCACGGAGTGGTGCCTGTGACCAACGAGAACGTTGGGCCTTATGGGGGGTGGGGATCGAATGATATAGACTGATTTCGTTCTCCCACACCGATTAAATGATGGAATTGGTGATGCGTTAATATAGCAAATGATTCTCCTACCTTAATAGCTAGCTCTTGAGGTGAGGTTCTACCTTGTGATATATCATTTTTACTCTCCGATCCCTCTCATCCCTTCTATATTTTTGTTGGTCTAAAAAATCACTTTTCACTTTTGAAATTATTTTTTATGGCTCGTATGATTTTTTTTGTCGTAAACAATACTTTTAATCAGATAATTTTACTTATTTTTGTGTCAACTCAAACATGAAACATTTTTATATTTACATGTCTATCACACTTATTTTGGACTATAAATTTGTTCTTTACGAACAAATTTTACCTTTGATGTTGTTAAATTTTAGCTAGTGAATAGTGATATAGCAAGTAGTTTTTTACTCCATTCTCCAACCATGCTTGCTAAAATTTAACCAACAACTAGATTTTAAAATATAAGGAATTCCCTTTTAGTAATTAAAAATGAGTTAAAGTGAATTAATTCACAAACAGTCATATTACAACGGCCATTTCATCTCCACTGTATTTAGTGGTCATTTGCCCAATTTAACTTATTTGAGTAATAGATTGAATATTGATGTATGAATAAATTTTACAATTTTTTTCAGTCCTCGGAAAAAAATACTATTCCATTTTATATTTTTTTCTTTCTTCTTTTTTTATTATTTTATTTTCTTCAATATAATATTTTGACAACCAATTTCAAATACTACACTCGGAGGGGTATAAATGCCTGACAACCAATTTCAAATGTTTGTCAACCAATTTCAAAAGCCAGATTTATATATATTTTTTAAAATTAAAGAAATCTTTTCTTTGATTTGGTCCCTGCTTCTCAGGAAACGATCAAAGATCAAGATGCACGGAACGGAACTAACACCATTCCAAAAAAACTCACAATTTACTATTTAAAAATTATAAGAATTTGTACTTATTTATTTATATGTTTGCATTGATTATTTAATGAAATAAAATATTTTTGTTACATCCTGTTAAAAAAATCACATAGTTTTTAAATATATATGTTTTATTTTTTATTTTTATATTAATCTTTAAAAATGAATTGAAAAATTTATCCGGATAAAATTTAGTTTCGTTTTGAGTAATGTGACAAATATTTTGGAACGAAATGAGTAGATGGATTTGTTTCGGTCCTCTCTCCTCTTTCGTTAAGAATAAAAATAACCCGGCGAACAAACGGTGAGTTAGCATTCATGTTGTCTCTCTGATCTTATGTGTTAATTAGGTGTATTTCCTCTTCATAGTACGAGTATTTTTTTTTTCTTAAAAATTTTAAGGCAACATTTGTTATGTTCAATAAAAAATCTTTTTCCCTTTAAATTGACATATTTGTGTGGTTAATGTCGAATGACAATATTAGATTAATTTGAATTAAATTGAACCTGGATTGAAAGCTTTAAAAACTACTTCGTACAATTAATTCATCATGAACAAGTTTCTTTTAATTATTTTTGAAAAATATAATTTTATTGAAAAAAGAAATAACCTTACAATAAATAGAGAATAGAACAGTCCCCACCAAGATAGCCAAGATCAAATGTGTACCTAAAATAGTAAATCCAAAACAAAAAAAATATTCTTGCTAATGTAAAATTCTTAGATAAAAGTCTTGCCTTAAAAAGTTTGTTAAGTTGGCAAGGTAATCGATGCATAAGGAGTAACACCTGAATTCGATTATTAACAATTGTGATAGAAGAAAACTATATTAAGTTTAAACCATCTACAAGTATCACGTTCGGGTTTTATTATTTGCCCGAGAATGAGTACATCATTTTTTTCCTTTCGATAAACTAAAGATGTGTATCATATGATTTTTTTTTAGATAAATTCTTTTTTTAATAAATCTCACATATGCATTTATGAGTAATCATGCTCATTCAAATATAGAGAGTTTTGTTCTTACAACAAAAAATTAACAACAAATCATACAAAACTCTAATTGGGACACTTCATGTTTTTTAGAACTTTTGACGTAATTTTTTAATATGTAATTTTTGTTTCTTATCGATATACTGATTTATAAATAAAATGATTTTTAAAAGTGAGATATTCCTTCTCGTAAAGCCCAATTTGTAATCTTTTTAAAGATGGAGGGAGTATATAATTTAAATTTTCAAATATGTTTATTTGAAACAATGGTTCAACCATTCGCGCTATTAGTTCGACCAGTGAATCAATGCCTTAACCGATTTAATCACCAGTTCAGTTCTAAAAACTATGAAGAGTATGAGTTATACCACTTTAAACTATACAATTTACTTTTTAATCTGTATATCAAATTAAAGTAGATACTTTTTGAGATGAAGTGGGTATATAATCTTGAAATATTCTTAAACAATCTCAATTTTTGGGTAAAATTGCAACAATTTTTTTCAAAGGTAAATAAATCATACGGTGTACTTCATTGGTCTAAAATAGAACGTCACAATTTATTTTAAAAAACTTTTGACATATTATATTTTATTTATATACAAATTTATAAATAAAATAAATTAAAAAATTTAAAATTTACTTCATTTTATATAATGTGACAAATATTTTAGGATGGTGAGGATATTAAAAACAGAATGCATAAAAAGAAAAAGAATACTCCGTACTCAGGTCCAACGTGGGTCCTACTTTTGAAATTATGACAGAGACGGCAGTTTCCCTTCTCGGCTTCCTTTTTTTCTCTCTCTGTTGCTCAAAGTCTTATTTTCCAACCCATTAATATTTTAAATTTTAATTAATTTTTATTTCAACTCCTCTCTCTCTCTCTCTCTCTGAGTCTTTGAGTTCAAAGGTCTCTCTAAATCTGTCTCTTTGCCCTTCTCTTTCTAGAAAAAAAAGACAACAATGGTGGAATAAAAATCCAATCTTTCTAATGATAAATAATTATTTCTAAGACTAATAAACTTATAATATTAGAAAGATTTTCCTTTTTCATCCAGTGAGAACCCAAAGTCTTCTTCTTTCTCACACCATACCTTTCATCCCATCGCACAAGTTTTTCTTCCATGGAGATTGAAGAATCTAGGGTTTCATCACTTTCATGGAGTTTCAGCCAAAGGTCCTGTCTTTCTTAAACATTGATTTTTTTCTTGACTTGTTTTTCCTGATTCCCTTCTGAATCTGAGCTTTCAATTGCTTTCCTGCTTCTAAGATGCCATATTTTTGCTGGGTTGAAGTTCTTGAATCTGTTTGAAGAACAGAAAGAGGGATTCTTGATTCAGTTTTGTTAATAATGTCCTTTTTGCCTCTTTTCTTGATGGGTTCTTTGTATTTTTAGGAATTAGGGATTTGGGTTTTTTGTTTCCACTTTCCTTCTGGGTATCACTTGGAAAATGGAGGAAATAGAGGAGGCTAACAGGGAAGCAGTAGAGAGTTGCCATAGGGTGATTAGTTTGTTGTCTCAGCCTGATAGTGATCAGAATCAGTATGGGAAACTAACTGGGGAGGCTGTTCATATGTTCAAGAAAGTTGTCTATAAGCTCAATTCCACTTTGGGTCATGCTAGGGTTAGAAATGTCAAGAAAATCCAAACCCCTCTGCCAGTTCCTCCAAACATTCTCTTAGAAAACCCGTTTTCTTCGAAACCCTCAGAGAATGATCAACCCAAAGCTCTGCAGCTTCTTCCTGCCCATAACTCCAATCAAGAGAAGAGCTGTGATCTCACATTGATGAGAAATCCTTCGTTTGACTTGAACGGAAAAGCCCCTTTTCTGCTACCCGCCCACCACCGCCACAGCCAAACCCACCAAGTTCCAGCGACAAACTATAACTTCCTTCAACAACAACAACCACAAATCCCTCTTTACCGGCGTAGCAATAGTGGAATGAGCCTTAATTTTGACAGTTCCACTTGCACTTCCACCCGGTCTTTTATATCCTCGCTGAGCATCGACGGGAGTGTCGCAAACGTGGATGGGAATGCTTTTCATTTGATCGGTGGGTCCCGCTCTGCTGACCTCGGCATGTACCAACAACACAAGAAGAGGTGTTCTGGCGAGAGGGGCGAAGATGGAAGTACGAAATGCGGAAGCAGTAGCAGGTGCCATTGCTCCAAGAAGAGGTCTGTTGTATCCTTTCGTGTGGTCTTTGTGTGTTTTTCTTTTATTCGGGTTACTCACAAATGGTACTGTTTTGGGACAGGAAGCACAGGGTGAAAAGGTCGATTAAGGTTCCGGCTATTAGTAACAAGTTAGCTGATATTCCTCAGGATGAATATTCTTGGAGGAAGTATGGGCAGAAGCCTATCAAAGGCTCTCCTCACCCAAGGTATCGCTACATTCATCATTTATATTAGTTTCAATCTCAATTGATTTATATTATAACCCGAACTCGTGACATGCAAACACTATGCTTGCAAAGTTAGATGAGAAAAGGACATTATGAAGTGGAAAACACTTTAGGGTGCATTTGGTTTGGATTCATGAAAAAGTTGTTTCTGGGTTGTGGAATGAGGGGTTTTTTGATGATGTGATTCTGGTTGATTTTGAGTTCTGGAATGTAGAATGAGATTGGTCTTGTATTTGGATTTTTCTCTCTCAGAATGTAAAACTAAAACAAATGCAACATTCTGTTGATTTTGGAATCAGAAATGACATAATCTGATTTTGATAATCCAAAACAAATGAACCTTTATTTTCCATCATCTTTCATTCCAAAATCGAAAGAGAAATCATTGTTTCTTCTATATCTTTGCCTTTCAACTTACTCCCCAATTCGGCCTTTCAACTTGTTAAATTTAGAAAATTATTATGTTTATGTTATGAAAGTTAAAATTGTAAATGTATTTCCCACTCCAAAATCCGCAATAACATAAGGAGATTAACAATACACATACACACTCTTCTCTTGAATTAAGTAAGGTGTTAGGACAAATATTCCAGGAATTTTCTTTGTATTTTTTCTTATGTATCCTATGCACAAGAGCCCATTCTATATACAGACCAAGACAAACCCACAAATCGGGCAGTTCTCAATCAGAAAGATATCTTACCATAATAGAAAACGGAAACATAATATTACATATTGTTATGGTATAAGTAATATTTATTGTGACTATTATAATGTGCAGGGGATACTATAAATGCAGTAGCATGAGAGGCTGCCCTGCTCGGAAACACGTGGAAAGGTGTTTGGAAGATCCCTCGATGTTAATCGTGACTTATGAGGGTGACCACAACCACCCAAGAGGGCCATCACAACAACCCATGAACGCATAAACCTAGCGAGCTTGAAGATTTTTAGCACGAACAACTTTATTTGGTTTCATGTTGCTTGTAACGGCTTCACCTTTTGTCGTGTACATATTTTGCTAGTTTAGCCTCGACGTAGAGAGATTGGCAGGGGGACGCAACACCTTCCTTTAAAGGCGCGTTTGGTTGAAAGGTAAATGTGATTTTCTTCCATGGTTTTTGTTACTAGATATAGGGGCTTTGATGGTTAAGGGTTATGCTTTTTTTAGTTGTAAGAATGTCCCTTTGAAATATGACTTTTACTCCACAAAACCATCATTTATGTGTCATTTGTCTTTGTTAAAACTTTGTTTCTTAATAGCTTTTGGTTTTCTATTTTTGCCAATTTGTTCCAGTCAATGCATAGAAAAGTCTTGCCTTGGAGTCTTGGTGGGTGAACCAATTTGCACTTGGGTTGTGGTGTCCACTGTTAGTGCATAAAAACCTTTCCTGGGTCTAATCATAGGCTTCAATTGGCTGAATCATTTTTGGCTCAAGCTAAAAATAAATTAATGTTCAAGAATTTTTTTTCCCCATACATGGGGCCATGTGTTTTAACTTATAGTAGAGTTTTGTTAATCTAGAGATCATTAGTTTGAACAAACAAAACAAAGTGAAACATGTCCCTCTAGAATGAACAATTAGGAGATAAATTAAATTATAATCTTAGTACGAAAAATACGGAACAATATATTACGAGATAAATTGAACTATAATTTTAGTATGACAAAAAGGGAATAAGGGGTAGGAGAAGAGATAAAGATGAAAGAAATTGTGGGGCGAGTGATTATTAGTGTGACCAAATGACGATGCACGAAGGGGGCAAACTGCAGAGAGAATAATTGAAATTGGGTGGGGCACGTGGGTATTGCGCAGTTGGCAAAGACAATGAGTGTCAAGGGAGTAAAATTCAAGTTCGATTAGTTAACTGTGTTGGGGGCCTCTGCAAGTATCAGGTGCAAGTTTCACTCTTTTATCATCAATCTACAATCAAAATTTAATTTATTTTTTTCCAGTATGTATTTCGTCGGGTTCGAGAGGGCCCTCGAGAATAGGGCTCATTTTTTCCTTTTTGAAATGGGGTGGGGGCAAGAAAAGCACTCAAAGGAAAGGAGTGCAAGCAAAATGCAAATAATGCATTATAAGACTGTAGTAAGTATATAATGGAATAGAATTGTCTCTCTAAGATTTGATGAGGTGACATATGATTGTCCCATCATTCACATTTTCTCAACTGCCATATAATTCTAACTTCTAAAAATACTCTCACATGAAATTTAAATATATATACTAAAAGAATATATTTTTTTGAGTTTTTTTTGAGTTGGTTTGAGTATCAAAGCTTTGTTGATTTAAAAAATACAAATTCAAACCTCTTTAAAAAATTAATTTTGGCGTGTAGGTTCCAAAAAAAAGAATTTTACCTGCACGGGAGGGGCATGTTAAGAACATACGCATAGACACTAGTGTTAGAACTTCTTATAATGTTTAACTACATTCAATCCTCGTAGTCAATTACTGATGTATCCATCGTGTTTTCACAAAGACACTGACCCACACAAACATACAGACACAATACATAGAGTGACATAAACCATTTTTTAGTGAGAGTAATGCTTGGGGTACATCAAATTGTACCCCAAGTTGTACATCATCCCTACAATGTGTAGTGGGGGAAGGACTATAATTTGGGATATAATTTAGTATACCCAAACTTTTTTGCTTTGTGAATCTATTGTACACAAATGACTTAAAGGCCATGAGATCTAAGAAGCATCTCAATACATGTAGAGAGATTTCCCTGAAATCGTAAATCGAGGGAAAGGGGTGCAACCAATTAAACGTCACCAATACACCCACATGGACAGCTCAAATGGTCTCAGAAGTGAAATTTGCAACAATAGATCAAGGATCAAGTCTTATTAGCGGCAATATGGAGCAACCTCTCAAAAAATGAGGGGCTCTTTGTGCGCAATGAGCACCGATCCCAACCTTTATTGTCTGTTGAGTCATCATGATTTACCTCCTCTCATATTGCAGTCGGGCAGGGGGTGAGGAGTGTCCGGGGTGAGCGATTTCACGTTTTGGAACAAGGCAAAGGCACCAATATGTGATTTCATTGTCGTTGCTCTCTTGGTCTCTCCATCTCTCAATGCGGCTCCAAAGATGAGAGAAGATTTAAAATTGGAGTTGGGGAAGTAAGCCTATTTCAAAATTTAAATACATGTGAAGATTAAAGACAGTCAAGAAATTGGCCAAATGTAATGAATTGGCCACATTGAAAATAGGGGACAATTCTCATGACATTGGAGCCTCATGTCGGTCTTGTTCTTTTGAGTTGAAAAAATTAACTTCTTATTTTTTCAACTCTTTCTAATTTTCTCCAACTTTTTCTTATTTCTTCTAATTCCTTCGAGTTTCTTCTAACAACGATTCAAGTCTCTACAAGTCCTTCACTAGCCTTGGACTAGTTTTAGTCCTCCCTACATACTAGGACCATTTGAGAATGCCGATCCTGGACTGGACTAGTCTCAAGGACTAATTCGGTCCCAACCTATCATGTCTTGGTCCTAGACGATCCCGGTCGATCTTAGTGGTCCTAATCCTTTTGCTCTTCTCTATTATAAGCCATAAAAAATATTTAGGTTTTACTTACTTATCTTTAAGCTATTTTTTTATGTTATCCAATTATTCATTTTGACTTGATCAATTGCAAAACCTTTTATAAATATCTCATAATAGTGATTCATCTTATTTAAGTCATTTCTCGGAAAAAAACTTCAAGAAATAACTTATTAATTTAAACATGCATATTAATGATAAGCTAATGAACACAAGCTCAAAAAAACACGCGCTAAATCTTACATTCATAAAACACAAGAAATTAAATCTACTGAAATATGGAGTGCAAATGTAATGCATCTGAAGAGCATTAGTGGACTTCGAACAGCCCAACACCGAAGCCCAATTAAACCCACTAGGATTAGTAGTGAAAGTCCAAAACAAAAAAATTCTTCCTAAAATTTTTTAGTGGGTTTCCACGATACACCATGACCATAACTTTTTGGGCCCTATTTACCATGTATCATGAGTGCACGTAATTTTTTTTGTATAAAATAAACAAAAAATAAATGAAATATAAGTTATCTTTGTTTTGAAAACAATGTATATCTTAATATTAAATAAATATTTATCAATAAAATAAAAAGGTCCATACACATCTTAGATACACTTAAACTGTTTTGACAAAGTTCCCATAAATGATCCCTTAGAAAAGGGTATTTTTTCGGTATTTTTTCATAGATTGTCTCTAGTTCTAAAAAAATTATTTGCAGTCATTTGTATTTAAAAATAATTATATAATCGGTCAATTCTAGCATTCTATTTGTTTTCAAGCTTAAAAAACATTATGGAAGGCGCAAACAAAAATACAAGGTATTTGAAAAACAGAGTTTGTTTTGGGAAATTTGGTTGTAATGAAGATTTTTTTTAGGAAATCTCCTTTTACGTAAAAAAAAATACATTAAGGGTGCAGTTTAAAAGAGCAGAATTGTGAGGGTATATTTTGACAATATTGATGATTGAGGATGCATTCGAATCATTTGTAAGAGATTAAGGATGTAAAAATTAAAATACTTAAGAAAAAACTGATAGTGGTCGGATATTAGTATAAGATCATATGAAAAAACTTATTTCAGTGTGAACATAACGTTAAATACGAGAAAGATTTCGACAAATAAGTTTTATTACTTAATATATATTAAAATTATTAATTGTTCCACTTGTCCAAACTAGTGGAGTGGTGAGGAGAACATGACAAGACCAAAACTTGAAAGAAGAAAATTTAAGGGTCATCAGATAACGCAGTGGTTCAGACAAGTTAGTCTCATGTCGGTTGGAGGTGACATAGAATAATATGCAACACTCAAGATTTAAAAAAACTGTTTCAAACAATATTTTGTTGTATTCGTATATCATTATGATCTTTAGGACATGTGGGGTGGACAAAATGTTCATGAAAAGTTGAGTTATGTGGTAAATATCAAATATGTAGAGTACGAGTAAAGTAAATTAGAATATTACAATAATAGTGAGAAGGACAAGAATGACCCGTAGAGGCTTGGGACTCACACATCTTGGCCTAAGTATAATTGGTCATGCCCATTCAAACACCAAAGGATTTAGACCAAATGTAGATGGTGTAGGAATAACATTGGCGTGACATTGTTGTTGAGTTGCTTCCATTAAACCCTACATGCCCGTGGTTGCCTATTCATGATACAACCTTCAAAGTGCGAGGATGTGATCCCCGTAGTTGCTATTGGAAAAGCACAAAGGGGGCGACAACCTACACACCTAAAACTCTTAAGGAGTGCACACATTTCCCTAGCAAAGACCACAAGTAACTTTCAAGCATTTGTTCCTTTTAGTTGAGGTTAATGCACAAAAAATTTAAACACACCCTATGACAAACTTAAGAAAGATTCTCTCAACATGAATCACAGGTGTCCAGACACACACTATGTGACATGAGAATGAAAAGGTATCGTAAGATCCATCACAAGACTACATTGGATGTTTCACCCTTAGACAAGGGGTTAGTGCTTTCTATAAACAATTTCTTTCTTGTTTGTTCCACTACATACAATCCAGGTGGAGCATGATATGGTTTTAAAGCATTCAAACACTAAGATAATGGTTTAATAGTTAATGTATGTGTAATAGGTTTGAAAATTGAAATCCGTAGTTTAATGTTGCAATGCTTGAATTTAAAAGCCAAAAAGAATAATATGATATTCTACTATAGCAAGTAATATCAAAGAAACACTAATTTAAAGGTGTCCATCTTCAATCACACTATACCCTATTGTTCAATGATCAAACGATATCGGATTATTATGATTGTCGATTCTACGGATTCCCTAGTTAAGGTAGAATCAAATTCATCAAAAACATTACATCTCGGTTGCAAAAATCTTCTCAAAACACCTCAAAACTACAAAACACGTCCAGAAAATTATCCCAAAGACTATTTGCAGTGCCAAATAAAATATCTCCCAAATGCCTCATCTTCATGACTTGGATGGATGCTCTCCTTCAAGCTCACGAAATTTCCTACACCATGAAAAAAAGAATCATCAAATTCCATCAAGTCTAGAGCAATTAATCCCCATATCAATCGAGCATAGAAACACATCTTTTATGAACCAAAACACCAAACTTCTAAAATGCTCCATCCAAGACTTTGGCCCCTCCGCGTCTCTCCACCGTCGATAAGGGTTTGATCCCACGGCTCAGAGTGAAAGGTCTCGTCCAGTCATCGATCCGCTGCAAACCTTCTAGACCAATCAGAAAGCTTCTGGGCACGAGATCTTCGTCCTTCGCCATACTATTTATTTGAACCCGACGAATTTCTCCATTTCATCACGAACACATCTCCCGATAGATTCCATTCATCTCGTTCTTAGCATTACGCCATAGCCGCAGTCTGTGATTTGAGGTTTCCAGCCGCGAAAATGGCCAGCGAAGAAGCCGTCGTCGTCGCCGTCCCGGAAGTTACGATCGAGGCGGTTGAGATGCAGATCGAGGCGGCGAAGGACGAGCAGGAGAATCATCCTCCCGTGAAGTCAACCAAGGCGAGGAAGACGAAAGAGCCGAAGGCGAAGAAATCAGTTGCTGCGAAGAGGAGAAGCCCTACTCATCCTCCTTACTTTGAGGTACGGATTTCGTGATGGCGATGTTCGTCGGAAGTTTAATTGCATTTCAGTTCTGAGATTATGAGCCTGGATCGGATCTGATTAGGTTTTGTTTTGGTTTTTGATTTCAGATGGTTCAGGAAGCGATTTCCTCTCTGAAGGAGAGGACTGGATCGAGTCAGTACGCGATTCAGAAGTTCATCGAGGATAATCAGAAGGCTCTGCCTCCGAATTTCAGGAAATTGCTGCTCGTTCAACTCAGGAAGTTCGTGGCTTCCGATAAGCTCGTGAAGGTGAAGAACTCCTACAAGCTCCCGTCGGCGAGGTCGGCTTCTTCTAAGCCGGCGGCCGCGCCTGCAGCTCCGGCGAAGAAGCCATCTGCTCCTGCCAAGCCCAAAGTCGCAGTGAAGAAGGCGGCTGCCAAACCGAAACCAAAATCCGTCGCCAAGCCAAAAGCTGTTACTGCTGCCAAGCCTAAGGCGGCTCCTAAGATCGCCCCTTCAGCCTCAAAACCCAAAGCTGTTGCCAAGCCGAAGGCGTCTCTGAAGAGGAAGGCCGTGCCAAAGTCCAAGCCGGCGACGAAGGTGGCCAGGACGTCTTCTAGGACCACGCCGGGAAAGAAAGTCGCCGCTGCTAAGGTCGCGCCGAAGAAGGCGGCTCCGGCGAAAAGCGTGAAGGCGAAGACGGCCAAGTCGCCGGCGAAGAAGGCAACTGCAAAGAGGGGAAGGAATTGACGAAAAAGGAACCCGTAGTTAAACTGCCTTAGTTTTGTACTAGGGGTATTTCTGTAAATTTCTCCCGCTGCTGTTTTACGTTTGTTTTTTTTCTTTTACCGTCTAGCTTTTACCCATTTACTAGTAATATAAAATGAGACAACTTTCGAAATAATTTTCTTATTTGCAATTCCATTACCAAAAGGAAGGTGACACGAATTACGCGTAATTTGTCCATTTTGTCGTATAATTTCTCATATCATGATATCAAATAGAGATTCTAGAATCACAAATAAAATTGTAACAAAAACTTACAAACCTACTTTTGCAAACTTCAAGAAAGAAATTAAATAATATGAAATGATTTCAAAAAAATAAACTATACTCCGTAAATGATAAATTTGTGAAATTTGAGATGATTGTGTTCGTAAATCTAGTATTGTTCGAATGATTTTGTTGAATTTGACTTATTTCAATTAAAATTCATTAATTTTGATAATTAATTAAAATAATTATTTTGTACCTTTGATCCTTCATTTATATATAATACTTGTATTTTGATTTTGAATATGATGTTTGATTAAAACTAGATTTAAATAAATTTTAATATTTCGTGGTATGATAATTGGTGTAGAATTAAATAATAAAATCACAGAATAATATTTAAAATTTATTTTAAAAGTTTTACAAAATTAATTACTCCGTATGACAATATTGTAAAAAAATATTGTTTAAGTCATAATTAAACAAAATACTTTTTTGTCAAATAACAAAGTAACATATTTTTATTTTAACCGTATCAAATAACAAAGTAACATATTTTTATTTTTATTCTTTTTTTACAAAAAAACAGATTAAAATTTAATTTAACTAAATAAATAATAAATGAAAACATTATTCAGAGTCAGGCATAATAGACAAAATGAAATATTTTTAAAGAATATTTAAAAAAATATACGGAGTATCTAACAAAACCATATGTCTTAATATGAAGATTAATTCTTACTCCCTTTGTCTCAAACTAGATTAGCCATTCACTATTCAGAGTCAAACTTCAACCATATTTTTTCTTTTTTTGATAGTTATTTTCTCTTTTTTCTATAGTTATTTCAAAGTAGTTTTGTAGATTTTTTTATGTATTTTAATATATAATTTTTATTTTTTATTCTACATTATTTTTCATATAAAATAACTTGAAAATAATTTAAGTCAAATATTGCAAACCAAAACAGACAATACAAATTGGAACGAAGGGAGTATTTAATTGACTATCAAAGTTTATTTAACACATGTGATTGTCAAAATATACTACGGAGTACTTGAATAAGGGTAGGAAGTACCCCCTCCATCTCTATCCAACTGTTCGACTTACTTTTCGAACTTTAAGTTTGATCAATAATATCTTTCAAAATATACTCTCTCCGTCCCAAAAAGTCTTTCCTGTTTCATTTTTTGCGCATCCCATAAAACACTTCTATCCCGCCTTGAATGCCAAAAAAACTTTCAAAATAGCTTCTACCCACAATAAAGAAGAAATGTTGTAAATTTTAGGCATTTTAGATGTCGGTAGAAGTGTTTTATGGGATGCGCAAAAAATGAAACAAGAAAGACTTTTTGAGACGGAGGGAGTATTAGCAAAAAATATTCAAAATAATACACTTAAAGTTTTTTTTGATACCAATAATTTAATATAATTTTTATATTTTAATTTGTTATATATTTTTATATATAGTTAATCAAAATGTTCAGGAAAAGTTCAGAGTGTAGGATTGACAACCTTGGTGTGGACCAAACATGAGCTACAATGGTTTAGGTAGATAACAATAATAACATTTGTGAGTCCTTGATCCTAACTACATTATGATTGAGGATTTATGATTGAGGATTTGAGGTACAAGAGTTAAATATACGGGCAAAGGTGTGAAAGCCAATGACAATAGGAAACTATGTCATGTTAGATAACAAGTTTATAAGTGAATATTTTGTCGTAGAGAAATGATAATCGAGTCCACGCGACACAGACACGCAATCATAATATGATACTCCAAAAAAAGAGCGTCAAGATGAATCTCACGAATACCAATGCCGTAGTAATGCATCTAATATTTTGTTACAAAATATTGTTGCAAAATCACTACTTACGTGAGATTGCGCTTTACCATCACGGAACTTGTTCAAACAGGAGAAGATGCTAAGGGAATTGTTAACTGTTGAGTAGGTTGCAGTTTGGATGATATGATTTCAGAAACAACCTTTTGGAGAGGAACTATGTTAAGCTGTTGGCTGTTTATGAGCAATCCTGAGAGCAAGTTGACCTCCATGGCTCCAAGATTATTGTCACTGAGTAATTCCTCCCAAAGCTTGACATCCTCGTCAATATTTGATCTTCTCGCGAGCTGAATCACTTGCTCTAGGGTGGCAACATTTCTTCCCGCACCACAACCCATGGCAGTTGCACCGCCCACTGCATTTGCGAGGGTTAGGGTATGAACCAGTGGTGCTTTGTGTATAAAGCCATATGCAATGGCAGCCACAAAGCTGTCTCCACACCCGACCGTGTCTATAACTTCCACCTGTTCAAAGAAGAGGACCCGGGCTACGTTATAAATATAGAGGCTCATTATTTGTAAAAAAAAAACTCATAGAAAATGCCATGTTGAAATTGCCATATAAAATTTGAAATATCTATTCTCTCTCTCTCTCTCTCTCTCGCGAAGAAGAAGAAGAAGAAGACGGCGAAGAAACCAGGGGAAACACAAATGAATACCTTGAAAGCAGGGGCACAGGTTATACTTGATCTGGTGATCAAAATCGAACCCTTTGCACCCATCTTAACAATCACCCACCTAGTGTGGACTCCCTTCTTTAGCAACTCTTGCCCTGCCTTGATTGGGTTTTCAATACCAGTCAATAATGCCACCTGGTTCATACCGGAATTAATGAATATAAGCTTACAGAGAAAATAATTTCAGCTACTTTTTTTGGTCTATTCTCTATTTTCCTTTAAAAAGGGGGTATTTGCGTATATAATCAGACAGCTCTGCAAAGCAGTGGCGGATCCAGAAACTTAGACAGTAGGGGGCGCCAAACAGGGGTCTGGGGGCAGCACCCCCAAACTTTTTTTAATTCAAACAATGCAAAACACTAAAAAATAATGAATTTAACCTCAAAAAATTATCCAAATAGTGAATTAAAAAGTTTAAAGAATAAAATTTCTATACAAGGAATGCATTATAACTTAGTTTAATTATTATATGTTTTTAGTGTTTCACTTTCAAATTTATTTTTGTGATTTTTTAAAAATTTGACTTTTAGATTATACTCTTTTAATAATTAAATATTTAACTTTTCTCATTTTTTCTCACTTAACACTATCTATTGGCCTTCAAAAAAAACACTATCTATTGAAGTCACTGATACTTTTAATTGGGGTCTCCAATATTTTTAATTGGGGTCATAAATAATATATCTCTAAAGACATTAAAAAATCAAAGTAAAAAATTAGATATATAAAAAAAGTAGTAGGGGGCATGTGACCCCAACACATACAAAGTACATCCGCCACTGCTGCAAAGCATGGAAGCGAGCCAAAATTTGCACAACAGCATACAAGCTATGAGAACTAGTGTGCCAACCTCTTCAGAAGTCAAGAGAAGCACATCACTCATCTTTAAGAACATATCAAAAACTCTCTGTTCTTCAGGTTTGCCTGAAAGAAGGGTCACCCTTGGACCAGGGTCAAAAAAGATGGATGTACTTGCGTCAATGGCACAATCCAAAGCAGATTGAAGCAGTCTAGGAGAAAATTCATCAAAGTCATAACCATTGCAGAATAAGATTTTTGATCGTTTTATAGCCACCTTTACTTCAGCAGACAACTCAGTCATCCAACTGTATATGGGATCCTTTGTGAAATCTGTTCGACTGAAAAAAGTAAGTGTCACCCTTGTAACAACATAAAAGAAGCAAAGAAAGAAGGAGGTTAAAATCCTTTGACTCCTTTTATCTATTTTAGTAGTACATAGTGGTTGCCATGACAACCTCCAGGTGACGACTATCCAACACTTAGGCATCTAGCTGGCGGAAAATGATCGACATGAAAGGTTGCTTTGCCTGAGGAGCACTCGGCATAGAATGGCATCACTTAGAGATTCATAGTGACGCCTGAATCATTTTTTGCCAAATCAAATTCAACTCAACAACCTGACCGTTTTGGCATTTTCCAATTTTAAATAGCTGCATCAGTCTTGGGAAATATGAAAACCTAAACAAAGTGAAAAAAAACTAAAGACAAACACTGCCACTTGTTGCTGCCAGACAGCTTTGTCCTTCCCTTCTTTTTCTTTTTCTTCCCTTTTCATTCTTTTATTTCTTAGTTTCCATTTATTTATTTATCCGTGCCATTAATTTATTTCTTTATGATTGTTTTCATTTCTTCAGATAGCAGTTGCATGAGATATATCACTGTCTTAATTTACGGTTTTGTGATTTAATTTATGGAAATGGATAGTGAAGAGTTATTATGAATTAGCATACTCCGTAATAAGTTATTCAGTTGTATACTGTATTATACTATAAAAGAATAATGCTACTTGTTTTCTAGGAAGTCAGCAAGGCAATCCGCTGGCGGAACACCTCTAATAGCCGTCATGACAAACTTTACGGCATAAGTGTCTTTCCTCATGCGGAAAGTATTTAAGCCAATATGTTAAAACATACAAAGGTTGAATCTGATGGAGTCATGGTTGAAATGGATCAAATGGCTATTAAGATATGTGAAAACAAAAACTAAATGAAATGTATCCCTTGAACTAATTTTAAAAAAGAAATATCTTCCTCTAAAAAAAAAGAAATATCTTCCTCTAAAAAAAAGAAGAAATATCTAGGAATGGCTAATGAGGATATCAATATTATTTTATTTAGTTTCTACTTTTTAAGCAGAAAAAGTTACTTATGCACTACTTTATTTCAGTATTAGTTGGTACTGCCAATGCAATGAAATACATCGATATTTGGTAAAGATGTGGTTAATAAGCTGAAAAAAATGAATACCAAATAGGCACTAATTGTAGGTAAGTGAAGCAATCACCTGCAAAAACCATGTCTTTGTAAAGGGTCCACCAAGACCCAACAGAGGAGAGTTTCACAGCTAAGGCATGGACGGTCAAGTGTGTCGCTCTTTTCATTCACTCCAACCATACTGATTCCTTCATTGTGAAGCACGTCCAAAAAGAAGCGCCCATACACATCATCACCAACGTGACCAACTGCAGTACAGCAAAGCCCAAGTCTTGATGCTGCGATTGCTACATTGCTATTGCC